TTGCCCCCCCCCCCCCAGTCAGAGACAGCCTCACTGGATGCACGGGGTGTGTGGCGGAAGAGAGCGCGCAGTCCTACGATGTGGGGAAATGCTCCCAGCAAGAGGGCGGGCCAGCTGCCTTCCCCTGGAGACCAGCCTGGAGGCTACGTCGGTGCACACGGCTTTATTTCCCCACAGCTCCCCGGGCCCTGGGCCGCCAGGCAGCCTCCACAGCAGTTCTGCAGAAAACAGCCGGCCGCGGCCAGACACAGAGCAGGAGGAGGAGAAGGGCGGCCAATGAGGCGGGGCCACGCCTGGCCCCCTACAGCACGGTGGGGCCAATGGGTCGGCTGAGGAAGGCCCATCCAGGGTGGCTGGAGAGGACCCTGTCCCGGAGCCACACGTGGGTGCCGGTGCCCGCTCGCCTTGTGCCGAGGCCCTCTCTGCCCATCGCCAGAGTCCTCGCAGCAGGGCGGGATTACCTGTGGCACCGTCCCTTCCAACCTCCAGGCCGGAGCAGATACAAAGTGCAAAGTGTTGCCGTTCCAGCATTCATTACAAACTCCAGAAAACAAAGCCAACGGGAAGGATCCGAAGACCCCTGTGGGACTCCCGGCCCCCACAGTGCCGCTGCCTCCTCCAAAGCCCGGGGCCAGGAACACCCACGGGCAGGGCTGCCGCTGGCCGGCTGAGGGAGCGACGGAGCCGTGTTGGGAGGGACGGGGGGCTCCTGGAGACACCCCCCCTCTGCAACCCAGTGCAGCGGGACAAGGGGATTCGGCCTTCCGGTCACTCGCTCTGGAGGCCCCTCCCTCCCGTCTCCCGTCTGCCTCGTGCCGACAGAAGACCTCTGATCGGGCATTATTGCTACACAAAAGGGTGTCTGGTGCTCTCTGCCCAGAACGTCCGTCACGCGATGGCCTCGGCCCCGTTCCAGCCGCAGCCTTCCACCTCTCCGAAGAGCAGCGGAGTTCTTGACAGAGGACCGCCCTCCTGGGGCAACAGCCGAGCGGGGGCTCCTCTCCCAGAGGGACTCTGCAGGCTTCTTTCAGGGGCGGGGGGGGGGCGGCTGCTGCAGGCCCCAGCACTGCTGGTCTCTCGCAACAGGACGGTGGAGCAGGGCCTCAGCAAGGCAGCATTCCGTACAAGGCAGTTCCGTGTCCAGAACAGGCGGGGGGGGCGGGGGCCCTCAGCCCAGCCCGGCTCACGACCTCCGGCTCTCGCTGCTCCGTCACGCAGGACCGTTCAAGGCGGCTTCCGATTCCGGCGGGAGCTCCTCTTTCCTGCAGAAATGTACAACAGGGAAAAGCGATTCCTATCACGCCATCTATAGCAGGCTAGGCGAAGGAAGCCCCTCAGCCGCCCCCCGGAAGTCCTGCAAAAGCACACAAGCGGCATTTTTTATTCACTGATAAATGCGCCTGATGCATTGGAGGACCCAAGGGGGGAAAGATCCGCCACTTTCAAAGGTCTGCCTACCGGCTGGTTTTCCCCACCTATTATAGGATTACATGCAAAGGTCACGCTTCCTTTTCTTGCGCATCCCCTTTCCCCACACAATTCCTCCTTCTTCTCTCCTCCTGACCGTCCCCATATCCCCCCCCCCTTCCCCTGCTTTATCATTTATGGACTACATTTATACCCCACCTTCCTCCCCAGTGGGGACCCCCAAAGCAGGTTACACTATTCTGTCATCCTCACAACAACCCTGTGAAGTAGATTAGGCGGAGAAAGAGACGGGTGTGTGTGTGTGACTGGCCCAAGGCTGACTCAGTCAGCTCCCACGGCAGAGGGGAGAGTCAAACCTGGGTCTCCCAGACCCTAGTCTGACCCTCTCACCCCACTGGCACCACTCTCTGGCGCTCAGCTTTCCCTCCTTCCCTCTCCCTGGCAACCTCTCCTTGGGAAACTGAACATGGGACCTTCTGCATACCAAGCAGATGCTTTACTCCTCTGACCAAGTGGGACTTAAAGATGGGTTCCGTGGCACCTGCTGACCCTGGCTGAGCGGCACATACTGCTGCTGGGTAGCAACTTGCTCAGTGGCTGCTGCTAGCCCTGGTGAGCCTCTAAGCTGAGTGAGTGTGAGCCAGCTCACAGTTCTTTAGCCTCCGGCTGACAAATTTTAGTCTTCGCTCAGGAAGGATGTGGCTCCAGGGCAAACTAATTCATGCAGCAGCCAAGCCACTCGCTCACAGCTTTAATGCCAGGAGCTCACAAAGTAGGATTTTTGCTCACAAGACTCCCCACAGCTTAACGGGAGCATTGTTGGTGACCCCAATCGCACAACCCCAACCCTCTCCGGGTGGATTCGGGTAAAGGGCTCCCCCCTGCCTTTTGCGGAGAGAAACCTCCCGGGGGGTGTCTGTCTGTCTGTCATGGGGAGGGGGAGGGGAAGGAGACTGTAAGCTGCTCTGAGACTCCTCCTTCGGGTAGTGAAGGGCCGTGGGGTATACATCCAATCTCCTCTTCTCTTCGTCTTCTCTTCTGAAGTGGTTCTCAAGGAGACAAACGTTTCCCCTTTAACCGGTGATGCCGGGGATTGAACCTGAGGCCTTCCGTATGCAGAGTCTTTAGTTTCTAAAACACTTAAACAACAGATGTGCGCCCTGTGGCAAAACATGCCTGCCCCCGGTCTCCCAGGCCCCATTTCCACCCTGCCCTCCTCGGGGTTCCCAGCTCCCTGGAGGGGCTTTCCTCCTACCCTCAGGGTAGCCTGCCGCCCCCACCACCAGCCCGTTGAAAGGAGTTGCCCACTGGGAGGGACAGAAGTCCCAGCCTCCCCTCCGCATACCTTTAGCGCGGCACCAGCTTGAACAGGGAATACAAAAGAAATGGGTAAAAACGCACCTCCTCTGTCCCTTCCTCTATACATGCCCTAATTGATGGTAAACTATCGGACAGGCTCTTCAACTTGGCTGCTGCCGTCCTCCACAGAGGGGGGGCCCCCCCATTCCCTTGGCGCCTGCCCCCAGTCTCCCAGGCGAGCGCAGGGTCCATATGGCTGCCTCCAGAGGGAAAAGTCCCGTGCCCTCTCCGAAACGCTGGGCCTCCTGAGGGCACCTGGTGATTCTGGCCCCGTCTGTGTGACACAGGAGTGTTGGACTGGAGGGGCCATTGGCCTGACCCAGCATTGGCTTCTCTTATGTGCTCTTATGCCTGGGGCAAGGGATGCTCTGTGTTCTGGGTGCCTGGGGGGGGGTCAACAGTGGGAGGGCATCTGGTGTCCTCCTGGCCCCACTGCTGGACCTCCTGAGGGCACGTGGTGTTTCTGGCCCCATCTGTGTGACACAGGAGGAGTGTTGGACTGGAGGGGCCACTGGCCTGATCCAACATGGGCTTCTCTGGTATGTTCTTATGTTTGCTGCTTGCCAGCCTCCCAGGAGGAAATGCATTTCATCACAAGCCCCAACAAGGCAAAATCTGCAGCTGCACAGGGAGATGGCCAGAGCGTGCGACGGTCTAGGAAGACAGAGCAGCACACTGGTGGGAGCTGGAAAAAAGCTAGGGGAAGAGTGACACAAAAGCCCCAGGATGGGTGAGCATAAGAGAAGCCAGTGCTGGACCAGGCCAGTGGCCCGTCACGCCCAACACTCTTCTGGGTCACACACAGTGGCCAAAGAATGCCAGGGGCCCTCAGGAGGTCCAGCAGTGGGCTGCCCTGAGCAGGAGACCAGGAGAGACCACGGATGTCCCCCTGTTTGGTCTCACCCTGGAGGCCGGCAGGACACGGCCCTGTGGTGGAAACAAGCATGTACACAGTGCGCGTAGCTCCACACACAGGATGGCTGCACTCCCCCGGGCGCTAAGAAGCTGCCCCCTCAACTGCAGCTGACCCAGCCCGAGTGGGGCATGCCATTCCCCCCCCCACTTCTCTTCACTTGGTTGAGTCGGGCTCATGACAAATGCTCCCTCTAAGATGTGGGGTCCTGAGAGCAAAAGCTCTACTTTGTGAGCTCCCGGCATTAAAGTTGTGAGCGAGCGATTTGGCTCCTGCATAGTTTGCTCTGGAGCCCCGTCCTTCCTGACCTAAGACAAAAAGGTTTGAGCTGGAGGCTAAAAAACTGTGAGCTAGCTCACACTAACTCAGCTTAGCGGGAACACTGCTCATGACGTGACCCAGTGTGGCCGTGCAACCCGTGGAGCAGCAAAACCACCAAAGCAGCCCCACCTCCAGTTTGGCTCCACACGAGCCCTTCCTCCCCGTAGTGCCGCCGTTCCGGGCTCCTCTGGGCTCTCCCGCCTTGCAGGACCCCCGTTCCCCTCAGCCGCTGTGTGGCTGGCCACAGGGAGCACTGGGCAATGTGGGGCCCTGAGACGCTGCCGCCCACGGCACGAAGCAGAGGCACCACCCTGCTCCTTCTCCTCCTCCTCTCACCTGTCTCTCCTGGCCTCCGTGGGGGCAGTAGTAGCCGAGGCGTGCTGGGGGTCGGTGCAAGGCGGAGGCGTGCGGGACCCGGTCTCCAGGACGGTCACCTTGTCCACAGCCACGGAGTCAGCAGCGCTGCAGGGAGAGAACCAAGGCTCTAGTTGGATCGGCAACGGAGGGGCCCGCGCCACCTCCCCACTCTTCCTGCTTGGCAGCAGCAGCAGGTCCCACCCCTCGGAAGAGACACGACGGCTGCGGATGGCTGGGGGACAAACGGAGAGCCGCGGCCTCCGTCCCAAGAGGCGCTTCAGCCCCTGGCTGGGCAAGCACCCAGCACAGCCCCCTCCGCCAGCAAAGGAGAGGAGCTAGCCGTGTGGCTGCGGAGAAGGCAAGCGCTTGCCATGGCGTCCAGGGGCCGCAAAGCCACACTTGTGGCCCAACCATCTAGGCCCCTGGCCAGAGAGCCAACGCACAAGCTTTGCAAGCACCCCCTGCCACCCCCCCTGGGTGAGGAGGACCCTCAGCTCAGAACCTGCAGGGTCCGGGAGAGGGCGGGCAGGAAAAAGGTCTGTTAAAAAGGTCTGTCCCCCCAGCCCCCCCCCCCCGCATCTCGCTTCCTCTTCAGCACTCCTTGTGGCTGCAGAAGGTGAAATCCAGTGGAAGCCCCCCCCCTCGGGCTGAGGGTCCCTGGAGTTCTGCTTGCCAGAAAACCCTCCGTCAGCACCCAGGGGCACCGTGGCCCCGGAGAGGAGCCCTGGGGAGACGGCCCCCTCCAGGGCCCCGCGGCTGCCCCTCGTGGACTTCCCGGGAGCCTCTGGCCGGCCACTGCTGGAGACTGGATGCAAGACCAGGGGGCCCTCCCGAGGCCTGGCCCAACAGTGCCGGCTCTCCTCTTCCAGACAAGAGGGGTCCTCAGAGTCCCACAGGCCCGTTGCGCTGCCGGGCAGGGTGCGGACAGGCATTTCGAGAGAGCCCCCCCCCCCAGGCAGGATTAAGCAAGCCCCTTTGAGTCTGCGTGGGAGAAAGAAGGGCTCTGCCCTCCAGGGGAGACAAAAGATCATCTCCATGGCTTCTCCCAAAATGAGCAGGGACCCCCCCCAAGCCAGTGTGACGCAGGGGCCAGAGAATTGGACGAGGGTCAGAGAGACCCAGGTTCGAATCCCTACTCTGCCACCAAAGCTCGCTGGGTGCCCTTGGGCAGCCACACACTCTCCGCATCACCCACCTCACAGGGTTGGTGTGAGGACCAAAGAGAGGAGAGGAGAACACTGGAAGCCGCTTTGGGTCCCTCCACTGGGGAGAAAGGCGCGCCTCAGTGAAGCCGAGTGAAATACACAAGCTTCAGGAAAGATGACTGTGATAACCATGCCTAGAAAATCTACTGGAGAAAGGAACGCAAGAGAGATTCCCCCACGAGAAGTCAGGATTCCTCAAGGCAAGCAAGAAAGGCCCATCACGAGGGAGAACGGGCAATGCCCAAAGAAAGTCAACAGCTAGATGATGGAATGAAACTCAAGAAGAACTCGTATAAGAAACCGAAGGAGGGAGAGTTTGCTCAGGATGCCGACAGCTGGACGGTCCGGACTGGGAGGGAAACAGTGTCAGGAAGCCTGAAGCTCAAGCTGGAAAAAGGGTACGAAGAACAACAAGAACACAAAGACATTGCCAGCAGGGTTCCCTCTGAGCTGAGTGTGAGCCGGCTCGCAGTTTTTCAGCCTCCGGCTCACACAGGGTTTTTTTGCCTTCGCTCAGGAAGAAGGGATGGGGCTCCAGAAGAGCAAACTCATTGATGCCGTGGCCAAATGGCTCGCTCACGACTGTAATACCCCAGGAGGAGCTCACAAAGCAAGAACTGTTGCTCACAAGAATCCACGGCTTAGAGGGAGCGTTGGTTGCCAGGTGTGTGTTCCATGGAAGAGGAAGGAGACACCAGGCCTGCTTTTCAGGGACGATGGGGAGACATGGACCGGTAAGAAGGAGAAGGTGGAAGAAGTATTCCTGACTTGCCCCTCTCGTCCTATCCCAGAGGAGAAACTGTGTTGCAGATCAACGAACTCAAGCATTCCCAGGCAGACAAACGGCACCTTTAAGTACTTGATGATAGAAAGATCGTGACTTATTAGTCAAGGCAAAATCAGATTCTTCTCTATTAAAGTTTCTAGGATTCGGGAATTTAGGGAACGTGAGCTGATCTGAGCTGGGGAATTTACTAGGATGCTTACCGCCACGTACAACAAACCCGCTGGACGACGTTGCACACGGGCCCCAGTCCTGCACCGTCCGGGAATGGCTGTGACAGCGGGAGCCGGAAGAACACCGGCCTGCCTGGGAAGGGCCTCTCCGGGCGTCTGCCCCAGTGCCACAAGGCGGGAGAGGAGCTCGGGATCCCCGCAGGCCCCCGCAGCAGGAGGCCGAGGAAAGGGGGAGGGGCTGCCGTCCTGCGGCTCAGTCCGGGGTCCTTCCCGTTGAGAGGGTCTCCGACACTAGAGCTGGGAAAGAGCTCGCTCCGCCTCAGGCCTGGGACAGCACAAAGCTGGGGGGGGGGGAACCGTTTGCAAAAAACAGCTTCCTGGTCCATAAAAATGAAACAGGAAATGTCACCCCAACTTGTAAGAAGTGGTCCAGAGGGGATCCAGGAAATTATGCGTTAGTTAGCCTAACATCTGTTCCAGGTAAATTGGTAGAAACTGTTAGTAGAAAATTATTAAGCACACTGAGAAATAAAGTCTGCCGAGGGGAAATCAGCATGGTTCCTCTTATTCACTTCATTCATTCAAAGCAGCTCACATGGTTCTCTTCTCCTTCATTTTAGTCTCACAACAATCCTGTGAGGTAGGTGAGGCTGAGAAAGTGTGACTGGCACAAGGTCACCCAGCAAGCTTCCATGGCCATGATTCGAACCTGGGTCTCACACGCTCATCACTATGTGGTGGGACGAGCTGCTCAACACCCGGAGGGGCTCTTCTTCCACTCTCAGGGTAGCCCGCCGCAACCACCTGACCCTTCTGTAAGGAACTGCCTGCTGGGGGGGGGCAGGGCTCCCCACTCCCTTTCTAAGGCCTGAGGCCTGGCCTCCACGTCTCCCCCCGCTGCCCAGCGCCTGGTCACCACAGGGACCGTCTCCTGCCTTGCGTGAGTCCCTGGAGGGAGAGCCACCTGCCAACTGCCTGCCTTCCCCCTTCCTGGCACTCCTTTTAAAATAGTACATCCAAGACGGGAGAGGTCGATGTGGTACGGAGAACCATGGTCAGCATCCAAAGTTATAAAGTATTTATTTATTTATTTTATTCAATTTACACCCCGCCCAAGCATACTTTTCACACAGTAGCCGACTGAGCAAGGAAACCAAAAGAAATGGCCAAAAATGCAGTTCCTCTGTCCCTATCAGATGTTAAAATACGACAGGCTCTTTTAGCTTAGGAGTTCTACATCTTTACAGAGTCCCCATTACCTTGAAGCTTTCTCCAGCTGTGTAGGCCAGCATGTGGTAGAAAATGGCTGCATTTCCTGTGCAGTGGTCTCTGTGTGCAATCGTGCCCTCAGCTCCCAAGGAAGAGAGCTCCCCCCTCCTGCAAGGAGGTTTTATCAGATCTCTTCCCCTCCCACTCACCCAGCCAGGCCAGGTCAAAGAGGTGCTTCCTGGAGCTTCTTCCCTGGCCCTCCAACTCTATGTTCCCTGCTTGGAGAACGGGGAGGGGCTTGACCCACCCCACTGTCTCCAGCTAAACCTATTAGCATGTTATGCAGATAAATTGGAAAGCCACTGCACCAACTCCCCCCCCCCCCCTGTTCCCAGCCCGGGGGGGGGGACTGGTAAAACACAAAAGGGAGGAATGGTTTGTTCCCAACCTCCTGGGAGAGAAAAAGTCATTTCTTCACACACTACACCATGCTGCCTCTCAAAACAGTTCTGCAAAGTTCAAACCAACCTCACCAACCACTTGGAGTTGGTTAACAAGCCCCTGGATAAGGGTGATCTGGTAGACATTATATACTTGGACTTTGTTAAAGTTTCTGACAAGGTACTGTGAGCTCAGTGGAACAGCCTCTGCTTGACATCCAGAAGGTCCCAGGTTCCATTCCCAGCATCTCCATTTAAAAAGGACAGCAGGTGATGTGAAAGACCTCCTCCGCCTGAGACCCTGGAGAGCTGGTGCCGGTCTGAACAGACAATACTGACCCTTGATGGACCAATGTGCTGGTTCAGTATAAGGCAGCTTTATTTTATTTTTTTTGCCCCCCGAAGGGGATTTTTTTAAAATTTGCATTTCTAAAATAACTACATAACTATAACGAAAAAAGGAGAGGGGGAAGACTACAGACTAAGGGAGACAGAGAAGGCACTAAAAGCCCAAGTGTAGAAGGTTACATATGCTTATAGATACAAAGTTGTAACTCTTAACAATTAACTTCCAACATGAGGAGTTTCCTTGTTCCTCGCTTCAAGTTAGAATCCAGCTTATCTGTCTAGACAGAGAATAACTCCAAAACTAATTAAGAAATATAGAGACCTTAAAAGACATTGACATCTCCCATTACGCTTTCCCTCCCTCCCCAAACACGACATTGTGGAGCCTAGATTCACTCAGTCCATACAGTCATCTCAATTGATTTTCTTCCTTCTCTGTTGATTCTTCTTTCATAAACAGCTTCAATGAAACAGGCTCTGTCCAGTTAGTAGCGCTTTCCTTTTTCCAGGGCTTTCACTCGCTTGTTGCTTCATCCACACTCTGGTTAGAGAGGCCAGCCGTTCACTTTGCATGTAGATTTTATAGTACAAGAGTAATCCACCCTTTGTTATCGCTTTTTGATCTGCTTGCCACCATCCAATATAAGCTAGACACAGTCTCAATTTCGTCTATAAATAATAAATCTTTCAATTTATTAATCGCTCAATCCTGCAGAGCTTGCTGGCTCTGAGCGATTTACAGTTACTCCATTACACTCGGGACTAACAATGATTCAAGGGGTAAGGGAAGACAACATATAATCTTTAAATCACACACATTCGCAGCCGACGGGGAGTTTTTTCAGCTGTAAGGTTAGACGTGTTCCAGCAGCATTTTTCCCTCGGCGTGGCTTGATGTCGTCAGCTTTCTCCGGACTGCTTCAAGTTGCAGCGCAGCACTGCCACC